GCCGTCGTCTTCTGGTGGAACCGACCTTCGAATCTCTTCACCAAACACTTCTACTCGAAATGGAATTAGGCCCAACAATTATGAAACAAGAGATTCCTCGAAACCCAACTTTTCTTCGCATCCTTAAGCCATTCATCAAGGATCTCGTCATGGAAATTAAACTTCTCGCTATTCAAGCAAGTTACCAGGGCCGAAAATACAACACCTTTTTCCACTCTAGAATGGCTTTGGATGGCTGTAGTGGATTTAGACATGCTATATTTGAACAAAACTGGAAAGTTGGTTTGTGGCGGATGTGCATAATGAATGGCAAGAACTCATAAATTCAACTCATTAGAAACAGAAAGAGGAATGTTATGATGTTGTGACAATTTATTTGCGCTAAGAAGTCGTTCTTGTCCCTTCCTACGACTCGATGAATCCGAGCCCAGCTGTCTTCTAGCCTGTAGTGATAGATATTGTCAGGAGGCAGAGACATTAATTACGCCACTACTACTACTTTCGCTCGTCGTATGACAGACATCATCAGAACATGGTATCATCCTTACAAGCATACTTGAGCCAAAGAGTCAAGAAAACACCATTCGTTGGCTTGAATATGGCTGTAATGGTGATACTTGCTTTAATGATGTCCGTCATACGACGGACGAAGGCTTAGCACTTTTGCACCGGAATCTAAGCAGATTACTTGGGAAACAGCGGCAATAAGATTATTCCAGTAAAGCCAACCAACAGCTGGTCAAGTGGAAACCTCCGTCGTCTTCTGGCGAGATCGACCTTCGAATCTCTTCACCAAAAACTTTCACTCGAAATGGTAGTAAGCTCAATTATGAAACAAGAGATTCCTCGAAGCTCAACTTTTCTTTGCATACACATATCCCTACCAAATTTGCGACCTTTACTAACTAGATTTTCTAAAAAGGGTGTCCTATCATCATTTGTCAGCACTTCAATACGTTCAATAAGTTAGTTTCATTAGATTGACGGATTCATTTATTCTCTTTTTGCTGTGTTAATAAGCCTCAGCGAAGTCATCCTCATGCTGACACAATCATTTTGACACAAGACGTAGACTAACCTCTAATTGAGGAATGCATTTATTTGCCAAAATTAGGGACAAGCACGATCTCATAACTTAAACCCATGTTTGCTTAAATTATTTTATATTAAAAGCAAAAAATATCTACTTTAATTATTAAATCTGGCAACTGGTTGATCAATTCTCTGCCTAACATTTTACACATTGAACATTGCCCTAATGTCAACTTAAAAGCATGAACTAACCACTCTGCTAACCAGACTATTGTCGATCTCAATGTGTTTGAAAACTTATAAGAAACTTTCCCTATAGTTTCACATGATAATTTTTTGCTCGAGAACTTCAAAGTTGTATAGATTCTACTATTTGTATCTAATAGATCGTAATTTTCTACTCCTAATTTTCTTTCTCCTAATTGATACAAATTATATATATATATATATATATA